GTGGACTTTTCCACAACCACCACCCCCAAGAAGAAACCAGCTGAAGACCTATCACCTCTGTAGAGTCTTCCTGAGGTAGTTTCCAAACCAGTAAAAGCTGTATCAGGGGCAGCAGGGAGGAAACACCAGCTCATGCAGATAAGTTGGCGAGAACCAGAGGTTCAGAAGTTCAGAAGAAGCATTGTCCATCTCTCATCTCTTATCAATCTTGCCCCAAACATTTGAACTCAATTTTTTTTTTAGAAAAAAAGAAGCCAAGAAACCCACCAGCAGCAACAAAAAGCCCAAGCCAGTTTGGCTTCTCCCTGCTCCCCAGGAGCACTGTCACAGGGTAGGCTGCACAGGAGACATGACGAAGCAAGGAAGAAGAACTACCAGAAGGACACCAAATGCTGGGCAGCAGCTAATTCCTCCTGCCTTTCACAAACAATCAGCCTATCTCCTGCCCCAAAAGACTTGAATGTCTTCTCCAAAGACACGAAGCCAAGAGGAGGCAGAGCCTCAGGTGGCCTTTTTGGCACATGCTGCATTTCTTGCAAGAACCATCTCTAGCAGTACATGGGATTTTTAGTTTTAACCTGTGACCCAGCCCAGGCAGGTTGGATGTCCAGGGTCACCCACCAGCATCCACCTCCCCACCAGTTGGGTTATAACCACGTGCTTTGGCTCCACATAACCTCTATGAACTCTTTGCCTGGGAGAAAGGACAAGTGTCCAGACTCTACAGAAATGCTTGAAAAAATGAACTTTTTATCAATATGGCACCAACTAAAGCTGCCTGGAGAGAAGGTGATGGGCTTCAGCTGCTGGTGGAGAAAGACTGAGGCAGCAGAGGACAGGGATGTTCACCAGGTGACCATTCATGCAGGAGAGGAGCTTGCATGAAGCAGCAAGCAGACAACAGCAAAACTGAACCAGAAAGCGTGACACAGGGGCTGTCACCACCTCCCCCCGAAACGCCTGATGTGATCCACCACCAGCACGCTGCCCCGCCTTGCAGATGACATTGGGGCTTCATGAGGTAGAGCTCGAACCAAGGTCGACCTTGATGAATCGGTGGGATGATCTGAAGTCAAACAAGATGAACTTCAGGGCAGACGTGGGCAAAGCAAGAGGAGTGAGTCAGAAATGACAGGCACAGCGGCCAGATGGGAGTAATTGGCCTGGCAGAAGGTCTCCAAGGAGGGGCAAGGCTGCCACCAAACATGAACCTGTTCCATGATGATGGCTTTTCCAAAGCAGCTCTCACACTGGGAAGCACATGCTGAGAGCATCCAAGGGGAACTGCTCCTGCTCAGAGGTCTCAGCTGGAGGACTTGGCATAGGGGTCCCCTCCTGGGGACCAGCATCCCCAGCTGGAGAGGGACCTGGGAGAGCCCCAAGGGACTCTCCAGGAGCATGAAGCAAAAGCTAAAGGAGCCAAGTTTATTCAGTCCAGGGGAGGAGAAGACACAATAGGAGCCCCTAGAGGTGCAGATGGCTTCCTGCCCTCCATGTGTTCTGCCTTCACCAGGGTCCATCACCCATTGAAACCCAAGGCACTGGAGATGAAACATGCCCCTGTCCATACATCCTGACCCCTCTCCACGCCACACCACACACACGCCAATCCCTGCCTCCCCCAGCTGCAGGAGCCACCCCAGCCCTCAAGCACTGCTCCGTGATGTTGAAACAACCACTTTCCTAAGCAGGTTATGAAAGGAAGCCCTGGCAGACTGTCAGGCTTCACCTGGCAAGGTGCACGCTCAGTCCTACCTCGCCTTTGAGGAGCCCAACAGCACTCAAACTGCACCCAACGCTGTGCATGTAGCAACCACCCTTCTTCTTGTGCACAGGCAGCCAGCACAAGACACCTTCCCTCTGCACCAAGGTGCCTCTTCACACCCCCATCATGTCCTTTGGGGTCCTGCTCCAAGGAACGACCTCCTGGGACACAGCCTTTCTGACCCCAATACAGTAGCTGGTACCGGCACAGGCTCAGCAGCCTGTGATGCTTGGAAAGATGAGCTGGGGGGAACAGCTGACACTACAGGAGAGATCAGGCCAGCATCTGGGGCCAAACACCCAGCACCTCCAGAAGAATGAGGGTCCATCACTCTCACAGCCACACTGGGTGGTCCACCAGCCACCCTTGAGTCCTTTGCAGAGGCACCACGCTATGGTGATGCTCCAACACTGCCCCAAGGATGGGAGTTGAAGGAGCAAGAGGGAGGTGCTTTGGGTCCCACCTGAGAAACCAGCTCTGGTCAGAGAGATTCCACCATTGCAGCCTCCTGTGTGAGCTACAGCTTCAGGAGTAGAAGCTGAACCATCTGCAACTCCTGGCCAGTGTGCCCAGGAAGGCCAAGGGCATCCTGGCCTGGATCAGCACCAGTGTGGCCAGTAGGACCAGGGAAGTTCTCTTCCCCCTGCACTGGGCACTGGTGAGGCTGCAGCTGGAGTGCTGGGTTCAGTGTTGGGCCCCTGAGTCCAAGAAGGACATGGAGGTGCTGGAGCGTGTCCAGAGAAGGGAACGGAGCTGGGGAAGGGTCTGGAGCACAAGTGTGCTGAGTTCCCTTGTGGCTGAGGGAACTGGGGGTGTTGAGCCTGGAGAAAAGGAGGCTGAGGGGAGACCTTGTGGCTCTGTGCAAGTCCCTTGGAGGAGGGTGGAGAGAGGTGGGGGTGGGTCTGTTCAACCAAGGAACAAGGGACAGGACAAGAGGAAATGGGCTCCAGTTGTGGCCAGGGCAGTTGAGATGGGATGTGAGGAAGAATTTCTTTGCTGCAAGGGTTCTGAGGCATTGGAAGGGGTTGCCCAGGGCAGTGGTGGAGACCCCATCCCTGGAGGGATTGAAGAGTGGTGTAGACACAGTGCTGAGGGACATGGGTTAGTCGGGGACTGATCAGTGTCGGGGTTATTATTGGACTTTATGAGCTTAAAGGGCTTTTCCAATCCAGGCCAGTCTGGGATTCTGTGTGACGTGGGAGAAGCTCCTCAGCAGGGTATGGCATGAGTACATCAGAACAGGACTTCCCTGGACTATGGCTGGGGTGAGAGGGCAGCCAGCAGGTCTGTGCAGCCAGGGTGGCTGGGCTGGCCTCCTCTTGGCAGCATTTCTCTTGCTCATGAAGGCAGCACCACATCAGGTGATGTGCAGCACGTACAAAGGTTCCCTGCTCCTCAAACCCAAGGTCTGCAGAATAACCCTGGAGCCCTCAGCACAAGTATTTCCACCAGCAGTAATTATCTCAGATACATCAAAGGGGTGATCACAGCTGTGACCTGTGAGCAGGAGGATGGGAGCTACACACACATGAGGGAGGATGGGAGCTACACACACACATGAGGGCAGAAACACACCAAAAACTCCCTGGTGACAAGAGCAGAAGCAAAAAAAAAAGAGGCAGCAGAGTCCAGACACAACCCATTGAGTCCCATTGAACTGCTGCCCTGTACTGGTGTTATCTCTGCGGTGGCAGGGCTGCAGAGAGGCAAACACGAGGAGATGGGTTTTCCAGGCTCATCAGCTCAACCCTCCATCCTGCAAACATGAACTGGGATCTCTGGTTATGAGGCATCATCCTCAATCTCATAGAAACACTCATTAGAGAAGTCCATTAGACCCACCACAGCTGAGCCCAGCAGGGCCAGGGTGGCAAGTGCAGCAGTAAACCACCAACGTAGGAGATCTTCACCCCTCCAAGGAAGACAGAGGAGAAAAATAAGCTGATGAGATGCCAAACTGATCAAAGGCCTTAGGAGCAGCCTTGTCCAACCTGCCATCCTCACCAAACAGAGCAGCCTTGTGCAACACCTCCTACCTCTGCCTGCCCAGGAGACACACAGCAGCCCACAGATCCTGGGGATTGTTTAAATTTAATTATAAACTAATTAGATGGGGGACCCATGGCTGTTCAGCAAGTCACACGCTGTTTTACATATTGGTCCCTTGACCATGGGTTGGTGAGAGAGGGACACAGGAGGTGTTTTGGACATAAAGGAGGGGTGACATGGCTGCTAACAAGGAGATGGAGGAACTTTGCAAGAGGTCTCAGCTGCTGGGCAGGCACCTAAGCTGCTCCTCTCACAGAATCACAGACTGGTGGGGGCTGGAAGGGACCTCAGGAGATCATCCAGTCCAACCCCCCTGCCAAAGCAGGGTCCCTACACCAGGTTGCACAGGAAAGTGTCCAGGTGGGTTTGAACATCTCCAGAGAAGGAGACTCCACACCCTCTCTGGGCAGCCTGTCCCAGGGCTCTGGCACCCTCACAGGAAAGAAGTTTTTCCTTCAGCTTGTCTGGAACTCCTGGTGTCCCAGTTTGTGCCCATTGCCTCCTCTCCACCTACAGTGTCATTTCTCTGTCAGCCACTCCCTCCAAAAGTGATGGGGCCAAGGTCCTCTGCTCCCTGCACTGCCCCTGACCTCCCTCAGCCTTTCCTGAATTGCTCGCCTACCTGTTCTTCACCTCCACAACTCAGTTTCCAAGACCACCTAGGTGCTCTCACTTTCCCAAGGATGTTGTTTTTTTCAAGACACCAAGCACCCATAACTGACTGAAGAGCATTAGATTTGGGTGTGCAGCATCCAAAAATGAAGGAGACTCCTTCCAGAGGGGACATGGATAAAACCTGTCAGTAGATTTTTGGATAAAACCATGACAGCAAAAGGCCTGAAGGGTAGATGTCCCAGGAGCACAGCACCTCTCAACAACCACTGCCAACTCCTCCACATTTCTGGAGACATGGCATTGTCCTTCTCAGTTTTCCAGGACATTTTCAGGTCAGTACCTCAGCTAAAGATCCAACACTGATACATGGTTGGACATGATGATCTTTGAGGTCTTTTCCAACCTCAATGATTCTATATTAACAAACAAGGGGCTGATACAACTCATCATCATTCTACCTTCAGGAGACACAAGTCTCCATCCCAAACATGGCTCCGGGTGGGATGTGAGCCACACAATGGTGGGGATTGACCCCAGGAACTGTTTCACCCCTTGCAACATGGACACTCACCCATCAAGTAGCTCTTCACCTTCAGGTATCCAACAGCCAGGCGGAGGATGGAGAGTTTATCGAGCCTGGTGCGCACATCTTCGGGGAAGGGCAGGAGGCTGGTCAGCTTGTTCAGCTCCTGGTTGAGTCTGTCTCTATGCCTCTTGGAGGGGTTGGACTTCACACCCTCAGGGGGTGGTGGTTTGGGGCTGGAAGAGGCAAAGGAGAGTTTAACCAAACTGAGACTGTCTGACAGGGTCTTTCCAAACCCAGAGTTGACTTTAGTGCAGCCACAACAACAGTAAAACATCAGGTAGCCAAGGTAAGGCCATGGAGCAGCAAGAACAAGCTCCAGCAAACCCACATGGCAATGGCTGGAGGAGACATGGCCATTGCAGCTGGTCACCCTGTGCAGCCCCAGGCACGATCTTCTCCAGCTGGAATGTGGGGTGAACCTGAGATGGGCACCTTAATGTGCAGCCTGAGACAGGTCAGCTGGATACTACAGCCTTGATCCCATCACTGAGCCCTGGCAAGGAAAGGGACCTACCAGCCATCAGAGCATCTCTTGGAGGTCTGGTTAGAATTTTCCACCCACACTCTGCTCTATCCATCCCTTCTTCTTCTTCCTCATCCTATACCCTTCCCATGCAGCAGGTCTCTCCCTGGCCATGGTTCCACATACACCAGGTCCTCACCATGGCAAGCACTACCTTGAGTGGCTCAGAGGATTCAGGTCAACTGTTCTGCCTGCCCAAGACCGAGTAGCCACTGGCAAAGAGCATGGTAACAAACAGCAAGAATGGGAAGGTCCAAAAGGAGTGGTTTATTTGAATTTATTTCGGTTAGCTGTTTCTAAACTCCCTCGGACTGCTCAGAGCTTGAACCCATCCGTTGCTTTCCTACTAAAAAGGAGCAGATGTGAAAGTCAAAGACTTGGACAAAGAGATACTCCGTAGGGTGATTTAGGGAACAGCACTTGGAAAACAGTAGATTTTTAAAAAAAAATTGTTTTCTTCCAATCTTCTGATTTCTGATCCTTTTGGATGGGCATTTCCAACCTCAACCAACATCTGATGCGAAACTTCAGCTCTGAGACCAACCCTCAGTCTGCAGAAGGAATCAGGTCCACCTTGAGCACCTCTTGTCCATCTCAAGCTCACCTGGTGACCTGTCCCCATCAGCTGCAGTTATTTCACAAGCTACAGCTGAACTCCCAGCCACAGCAGAAAAAGGTTCATTAGTGACTTTAACGAGTCTCAGATGTCACCTTGTCTCCTTTGGTTTTTAACATCAGTTTGGATTTTCTAGCATGAAGAAAAACCTTTCACCCTCTTTGTCTCTCTATTTGGTTATATTCCATCTCCTAACATCCAACCCATATTGTTTTGATGTAATTTGTCTAACCACAAACTCCCTCTCCCCAGGCAACCTTGTAAAGCATCTTCAGATAACAGGATCTGCCCCTATTTAGCAGCAATTTAAGCTCTGCCCTCTACTACAGCTCTCAAATCTCATCTGGCAGGACTGCTCGCATGTGTGACAAGAGAGGAAATGAGGATTAAATGAGATGTGAGGTGCCTGTTGAATTTTCATTGCATAGATGTACCAAGGGTTCTTCTAAGCACGGATGGAAAATGGTAGCATTTCTCCAGAAAAGCTCAATCATGTTGTTTTGTAACATAAGCATCAGGAGGGATCAATCCTGCTTCTCTTGGGTACAACTCACTACCAAACTTGTCCATACAAGCTGGGCAAAACACACTGGCACCAGTGCTTTGATGTGCTCCATCAGCCTGTGGCTTAGCAAACACTTTTGAAATCACAGTCACTCCTCAGGAAGGAAAAAGATGAAATAGTTTTAAATCAGAGACAGAGGCAAAGGGGGGGGGAAAACAAAAAAAAAGAAAACAAAAAGGTGAAGAAAATGGTTCAGAGCTTCATCAGATCTCCTGTACAGAAAAGCCCTCTGCCCACTTGCTATCCAAATCTGGCCCAGAAAGAAAAGGAAAGAGGAGATGAGCAAGAAGTGCTGCCTGTGATGGGAGGGGGCAAAACACAACTACAAAAGGCGTAGTGGGGTCTCTTGGATAGTCTGACCCAGCACTGAAATTGCTCTGAGACACATGGGTTCAGGCAGCCAGCAGCAAAGCACAAGAAGGCTGATGGAGGACACCCCAACATCTCTGTTCCTGCACACCCCACCTATGGCACACAGAATCCCAGACTGGTTTGGGTTGGGAGGGACCTTAAAGCTCATCCAGTTCCAACCCCCCTGCCAGCAGCAGGGACACCTTCCACTAGACCAGGTTGCTCAAAGCCTCATCCAACCTGGCCTTCAACACTTCCAGGGAGGAGCAGCCACAGCTTCTCTGGCCAACCTGGGACACTGGCTCACCACCCTCACACCAAACAATTTCTTCCTCACATCTCATCTCCATCCCCCCTCTGCCACTTTCAAGCCATCACCCCTTGTTCTCTCCCTCCCTGCCCTTGGCCAAAGTCCCTCCCCCGCCTTCCTGGAGCCCCTTCAGGTACTGGGAGGCCACTAGAAGGTCTCCCCAGAGCCTTCTCTTCTCCAGGCTGAACAGCCCCAACTCTCTCAGCCTGTCCTCACAGCAGAGCTGCTCCAGCCCTCACATCATCCTCGTGGCCTCCTCTGGACTGGCTCCAGCAGCTCCATGTCCTTCTGCTGTTGGGGAAATATGCAGGATGCTTCACAACCTCCCTTGAGGGGAGGGATACCAAAGAGGAAAATGGTTCTGGTGATGCCAGCAGCTCTTGGCAGCCTATTTCCACGGGCAAACACTGCAGCTGGGAGCTTCCAGGGCCAGAGGCTTCCCAGTTCTCCCTCCTTATGGGTGCCACAGCAAAACAGCTTCCAGGTGCTCATGGCTGACAAGTCTGTTTGCTCTCTGCCAGGTAGTTACAAACTGCCTTGAGGTCTGTGCGAGCCAGTGGGAAGGACCAGGAGAACCCCCAGCCTCATCACATAAAAGTATCAAGGGAAAGGTTTTGGCTTGAGCACAACCACATTATCAGCCACCAGAGAATCTGCACAGGTGAGCACTGCAGGAAACAACATTTCCCTCACTCATGGAAAAAGTGAAGCTTGCTTTAGATGTTTAAAATTTTAAATTCCCTGTCCTTAGGGCTGGCTCCATCCACAGCTCAGGGCCAAGCTCTGGTGGTCTTTGCCAGCCCTGGGTGCAATGCAGGGCTGTCCCAGCAGCACTGCCACCCCAGCACAACCCTGGGGTTCCACAGAGCAGCTCCACACCCACCCAACACACACCAAAAAAGCATTTTAAAGAGGTTTGAGCCCCCATCCTGTTTGCAAGACCCCTAACGTGGTACAGCCTTATGAAACAGATACGGTGCAAAGCTCGGCACAGCCATGCCATGGAGGTCATGGTGAAGCTGCTGAGAAAAGCTGCTGCCCCTCGTGTAGACAGGCTGGAGCAGAGCCACAGGGAAAGCTCTGCTCTGAGCAGGGCAAAGGCTGTGCCACTGCTGCAGCGCTGGTCCTCCCCAGCTGCCCTTTGAACCAGGAACCCAGCAGGAAGTTCATCACTTCTCCAAGCTGGCAAGTACTGAGGGATATTAATTATTAACGACAGCTGAGGTTGCCTGAGCTGATATATCACCTCCTAATTTTTATGCTTTTTTTTTTTAATAAGTAAAATGCCCTGAGCAAACTGCAGAGGGGCCAGAGAACTCCCTCCCCAACCCCATCCTTCCCTCCTCAACCCCATCCTTCCCTCCCCAACCCCATCCTTCCCTCCCCACACACCTGGGCACACATCTTGCTGCTCCCAGCTCCGCTCCACCTGGCCTCTCCCAGCAGGTTCTCTGCTGTAAGATCTGCCCAGGCACAGAGGAAAATAGTATCTTCCAATTCCTGAGGTTGGTCCTGCAGTATGAGGGACTGAGGTCCCCTCTGCTCCAAAGAAACACCTTCTCCTGCACCCTGAGCCACACAAATCCAGCCCAAATCCTCAGTCTGGCCATGGGGCTGGAATTGCTGCTCCAAAGTGAGCAGGAGAAAGGTTTGAGGTAGCGGAGGTACTCTCACATCCTCAGGCTTTAAGGCTCCCTGAGAAACACCAGGGGAGGTTCTGCTCACTTTCTCACCATATATTTATAGTGTTGATGTTCTCTCCTCCATCCCAGGCTTGGGCTCAGCTTAACATCTCACCATACATTCATAATACTGATGTTATCTCCTCCATCCCAGGCTTGGGCTCAGCTTAACATCTCACCATACATTCATAATACTGATGTTATCTCCTCCATCCCAGGCTTGGGCTCAGCTTAACATCTCACCGTACATTCATAATATTGATGTTCTCTCCTCCATCCCAGGCTTGGGCTCAGCTCATCTGTCTCTCCCCAATGGCTCCCAGATATCTATTTATTTATATCTTTATTTCTTCTCCACCTGGTAACCTGAGGTCAACAGGCTGATGTGATTTTGGAGCAGGTATGGGGGATGGAGACACGGGGGTCAAAGTCAGGAAAATCCGACGACACATCACAGAGCAGGGCAAGGTCATTATGCAACAGCATGCTAATTAATTATGGAGGAGCAGGGACCTGTTAGTAACTAGTAATTGCTGTGTCTGATTTAAGCAGGACTGTGAGGTAAGCCAGCCTCGAAGATGAGCGCAGCTGAGCATCTCCAGCTCACTGGGGGAACATTGGGGATGCGGGACAAACATCATAGAACCACAGAACTGTTTGGTTGGAAAAGACCTTTGAGATCATCAGGTCCAACTGTACCTGTCCACTGCTAAACCAGATCTCTGAGCAACTCATCTACCTGGCTGTGAAATCCCTCCAGGGATGGGGACTCCACCACTGCCCTGGGCAACCCCTTCCAATGCCTCAGAACCCTTGCAGCAAAGAAATTCTTCCTCACATCCCATCTCAACTGCCCTGGCCACAACTGGAGCCCATTTCCTCTTGGCCTGTCCCTTGCTCCTTGGTTGAACAGACCCACCCCCACCTCTCTCCACCCTCCTCCAAGGGACTTGCACAGAGCCACAAGGTCTCCCCTCAGCCTCCTTTTCTCCAGGCTCAACACCCCCAGTTCCCTCAGCCGCTCCTCACCATCAAGATGTTATTTTTCCTCCAGCAGCCCCGAGCCTCCTCCAGAAGCAATTAACTCTAATTAAAGCAGAGCGCAGCCCCAGCACGCCGCCCCTCC